GTTTATCAAAAGGGGTCTATCTACTCCACATTCCAGGGTTTTCTCTGCCGTGCTTGTCGTCCTCAGCAGATGTTTGAGCCAAAAGCAACAGGCAGCGTGTAGCGGACAGATAAGACGATTATCAGCAGTACAAACAAAAGAAAAAGAGTCACAGAAATTAGTCAGAGTTGAATAAGATTCTCTAGTTTCAAGCTGTTCGTACATATTTTCATACATGAGACTAAACTTTTGCTGAAATCATGACCATTTGTTCTACTATTAGTGTGGCAACTATTAGTAGCAACAATTCCTTACATATGTGCAAGGTGTCATCAAGCAGCAGGCTATCACATCTGAATAGCGCATTTGACAAAAAGTGTACCGTATTTTTCAGATTATAAATCACAATATCAATGAACGGGTCTGTTTTCATACATAAGGTGCACCAGATTATAAGGCGCTTTAAACGAAACAAGTTCATTTTGACAGATTTTTGAGCGCCATGTACCACATAAAATCGGTTCGAGGTCAGTAAGCACAACCAGAATTAAATCATTCAACCTTTATTTATACAGGTTAATCCCACTAAACCTTGGGGACTCATTTACAAGTTTTTCAATACGTATGGTGCAGTGGATTTTAATTCTCACTGTCAATTTTTGAGAAAATTAAGAGATTTTAAGTGTGCCTTATAGTCCGAAAAATACGGTACTATGCTAACAAGTTTGAAGGAATACAATATTCAGTACGTCTCATGTCCATCTATGCTGTGCTTCAGCGCTACCTCGAAAGTCCTGTGCAGAAGAAACTTGAAGCTCAGAATCTACATTTAGTTGCGTGCCAGCAAGTTAATGATAATTACTTTACGTAACCAGTGTTTGTTCAGCGTATTACTTGCAGATGTCCTTTAAAATTAGCTAAATAATCTGCTTTATTGTCTCCATGTTTACATCCTGGATGTCCAGAAGTACAGGAGTCTGATTTCATCAAGTCTGTACAAGCATAGTGCACAAGCAAGTGTGTGATCAATAACCCTGACAATAGAGCTGTTTGCCCAACGAGCAATAACCAAACCAAACACTGACTGCAGAGCAAGGATTTGGTGTTGTGTATGAAGTGGAGTGATATTTGTACTTTTCATCTGGAGATGTTATTTCATTTTCTCCTGCACGCCGGATCTTTGAGCACATTAAAGCTCAAAATATCTTTGTTTACACCAAGACCAAATATAAATCAAGGAATTCCTTCTGTAATCCCTGCAATTATCAGAAGTTCCCCTGTCCGAAGTGATTATTGGAGCAGGCTTTTCCCTTCCATTCAAACGTGTTTAAACTGTAACTGTAAAGACATACACCCACTTCCTGTACTACCCTCCGTTTCCAGAAACACACAGTAGACGAGGTCGTCTCCGGGCAGCTGCACTTTGAGTTTTTAAACTCAGTGTCTGATAGTTGTTCCTCCACACAAGCAGAGAGACGGAGATGACTCCAGCCAAGAGAACTGTGCGAACAATACGGACTGACTTCCTGACCTTTGGGTCCACAGCCTCTTCACAGAAACAATGCTTATTTATTCCAATCCCTTCCCTCCATACACCCTTTTACTGTCACTCTGGCTCTCTTGTGCTCTCTAGGTTCAGCTACTTACGGCAATTGGCAAGAGTTGCGACCTTAGGTTAGAAGGTTTTGAACCTGAACACGCATGGTTGTCTGATTAAAACATCTTAAAACAGCATGTTATGAAAGGGAAATGGATAGCAGCTTTGAAGCCTTATTAAATCCCCAATTGGACTTAAAGTAATATTTTTACAGCCCAAATCGTAAGACATCAAAAGCACACCCAACGTATGGGTTTCAGCTGTGTTGAGCTGCAAATGCCTCAGATGCCACTCAACAAGAACAAAAAGCAGATTGTTCATGTGTTACAGCCTCGTGAAGGCTGGTACGACCGAAGAGACATTTTCATGACAACAACGCCGAAAACATCTCGTTTGATTTGACATATTAAGAGCACATGATAACATCTGACGTCACAACTGGAAATGATTTCCAGATTTTGCACATTTCAAAAGAACGTGTCTGCAAATAACTCTCCAGTGTGCTCTGACATCAACTGTATACCTCAAAGCTTTGAGTCATTCCAAACTGAGATTTAACGTAGAGCTTGAAGCTTTCTTTTTTTTTCATTCAACCTTTATTTATGCAGGTTAATCCCATTTTATTAAGGTGTTCTTATCAAAGAAGCAGATTCATGTGGACTATTAAAGGCCCTGTCATCCCTTGTGAAAGTGTTGGGAGCTACAAGCTCAAGCTACGTATTTTCTACACATTCTTTACATTCCTACAAGGCCTGTGTTCTCCACTGACCTGAAGCAATCTTCTCATTGTTCTCAGTGATGAGCCCACAGGACCATATATATGATTCAAGCTGGGAAGAAATTCAAGTAAATAAGTCAATTTTTTTTCAAAGGGGGAAAAATATAAACCCATTTGAAAGAATGCAGTATTCAAGGCAATCCCCATCCCTCTCTGCTGTGCTTCAACTCTGCTTCTAAAGTATGTCTTGACTTAAGTTTCTATCTTTAGTTAAGCATTAACTAATTAATGATGGCTTCGTCACATAATCAGTTGTGTGAACAAGATGAGAAATTTTAATTTCCGACAGTGGCAATTTTTGACTCTTTTTGGGGGTGCTCAAGCACCCCTAAATTTGAATTCTGCACCCCTGAAAAATAAAGTAAGTAGTTGAATAGCCCTGTTTAGAGGGTGTGATACAGTTTATTCCATTTCCAAGACCTAAACTGAGTCTGGAAAAATGTAAAATACGGATAAAGCCCGGCGGCCGACCTCATGAGCAGCTGAATACAAAAGTGATAAACTGGAAGAACCACATGTTCATCTGTATGAAGGTAACTGCAGGTAAATCCTGCATTTTCTGTCATAATTACATGACTTAATGGTTAAATTCAAGGTTAATGCTTGGCTAGTTGTGCTTTGTTTTGTGTGTTTAAATGTAGATATACGTTGAAACTTCCAGTTGCATAAGTTTAGTCTTTGTTATGATCAGTTAACGCTAAACTGATTTTGTACGAAGCGTTTATTAGGTTGTGTAACATAAAGCGGAGCGCTACGTCTGTAGCATCTTAGCTAGCGCGTCTGTATTGCACGCCGCTAGCTTAGCGCTATTTTGTTTTATGCTGAGCTCTCTAAAATAGTTACTGAATCAAGTGTTTAGTTATGTAGATAAACGTAGATGTTTAGCAACATGTTAAAATACACCAGAATGCAGGAAATGGCATCTACTTTATTCAAAATTTTCTGGGGGAGGACCCCCCCCCCCCCCCCACACACACACACACACATTATGAATGCTACTGACGCCAATGGCCACCACATTGTTCAAGCCAAGAGCCATTGTCAGCACTGGGGGCTAAGCACCCCTAAAGATCACATTCTAGAACCGCCCCTGCTTCCCGTTAACTGTAAAACTCACTGATGACAAATCACTTGTTTAATTCTTACAAAAACTGTGATCACAATAACAAATAGTTTTGTTCCTTTAGATGAAGTGAGACTGGAGTTTTCCAAGACAACACTGATGTATTTTATTTTAGAGTTGGAAAAATCAACCGGATTGCCCTGAATAGTTCGAAACTTGCAACATGGAAAGTTGGACTTTCCTGCCCAGTCCTGACTTCAAAATCCATCATGGCTGCCTTGTGCATATAAAACTGTGATAGCCACAGCAATTACTTTTTTCCTCCTTCACTTCTGTCTGTATCTCAGTAATCTAATCACACGCAGTACTCCCCAAACACTATTTGTGGACATTTTTTTTACACAGGTTGCAGAGAAATCCATTCTTATCACCTTGTATAGTTAAAGATAGTTAGTTGGTTATTGAGCTCAACATTTAGCAAATGCTACTGTTTTTCTGACCTGCTGCAACTAGAACGCAGTTAAGTTGCATCTGATGACTTTCCCAGATCTTAGTTGGGACTTTCAAGGTAAATGGAATATCATATTAACTAAATGTACATACCATACCACTTTATATTAAGAGCACTTAATTTATTTATTTTTTTTTAAACAAAGCCGACAAAAGTGGTGTGCAATAAAGCAAGTACAAGACAAGGGATGAAAATTACATTAATACAGGGGAAGTAAAATTATAAAACAAATAGAACAGACCAATAAAAGTGCAATAAGGTCCATGTATCTCAAATACACATTTCATCTGTTTAGTTGCAGCAAAAAACTACTTCAAAGTTTCAAACTTTACACATTGCACCTAAATGCTTTCATTCTTTTTTCCCCAACTATTTCATTTTTATTGTCCTATTATGAAAAATATATACTGTGTTTTGCCTTGCTTTGAAAAAATATAAAGATTGCCATTTTGTCATTTCTCAGTATTGCAATTTGTGAAAAAACAAACAAAAAAAAAAACAAAGAAGTTGCACCTGTTGCAAGCAAAAGCACAATGAAGTTTTGTTTTACTTGTTTTTATGTAGCAGAGTGTAAAGGTTTAGCAGCTTTGAGTTTCAGCCTTGCTATTTTGACTCATCATGTCAAACCATTCACTTAATTATTTCCATTTTGCCCAGAAAACATGGCGTTCTTCCTTCTGAACGTGATCAATGAGGAGCCACAGCTGCACATAAATCTGTGCTAATATTTCTTTCATGTTTGGACGGGAGGTCGCGTCTATTTTCACACAGAAACCTATCATCGTTCATTAAGGCCCGCTCCGAGATCCAGTCTGGCATCTGCTGCTCATTACCAGCCGGTCCTGGTACATTTATCCAAACATGTGCCGAAGAATCCATTTCACACAGAAGAAAATAATAACGCGAACGTTATATTCTTATGGTGAAATTCAGACTCGAAATAATGATTTGGTAGTAAAAGCTGCAAATGTGAGGAACCGGTTGAGTTAAATCTTCTCTTCTTTCTTCAACATTATCAAAGATGTCACACTCTTAAAGTTCACTTTTAATAAGCTCTAAAAATCCATCTCACCTGAGGGCAATCTTTGATGTAGTGTCCTTTGTTGAAGCAAAGGTGGCACAGGTAGTTGGGTGGCGGCCTTTTGCTGTGTTTGTGTGTCTCGGGGGACAACGAGAGGTCGGAGAACTGATCCGCCAGAGAATTCAGGCCATCTACGATATTACTGAGGGATCTGTACGGTGAAGACCCTTTGTAGAAGTTTTTACTCAAGGCCTAGAAGAGAAAACAAGATGATAAATCACTGGCAGTAGAGCTACAAGAATGCAGAGGTTGAAATACACAGCAATGAAATGTGTTATAGAGAAATTGCATTTCCTGTGAAAATGTAATGTGAATGCTTAATGCTAAAGAACTTGCTGAAAACAGCTGAAATTAGCTAAAAAATGCAACCAAAAAAAAAAAAGATATCTGAAAAGAAAGAACAAGCTTAAATTAGCAGAAGAAAGCAGAAAAGAAATTAGGTTTAAATAAGCAGAAATTAGCAAAAAGCGTATGAAATTTGCTATAAAAAGCTTAAGTTAACATAGAAATAGCTGAAAAGTAGTTGACAGGGCAGAAAGAAGCTTAAATGACCAGAATGATGTGAAAAGAGCTGAAATGAGCAATAAAAAAAAAAGTGGAATTTGCTGAAAAGGCTAAAAATATCATAAAACAGCTGAATAGTAGCTGAAATAACTAACTAGCAGAAATAAGCTGAAAGGAGCAAAACAAGCTGAAATTAGTAGAATGAAGTTAATTAGGCTGAAAGTAGCAGGTTACCACAAAAAACATGAATTTATCTGAAAACAGCTGAAATTAGCTAAATAATGCTAAAAAGGCAGCAGTAAAGGTAGAACAAGTTTAAATTTGCAGAAGAAAGCAGAAAGAACATATACTTGCCCAATTAGACTGAAAGAAGCAGAAATGAGCACAAAAAAGTTAAAGTTATCAGAAAAAAACCAACCTGAAATTAGCCAAAAAAATCTGAAAAGCAGCTAAAAAAGCAAAAACAAGCTTAAATTGCCAGAACAAAGTGGAGAGAGCAAAATCGTGCAAAATTAGACCGAAAGAAGCAGAAATAAACAAAAAAAAAGTGAAAAGTATCTGAAAAAGAAAACAACTGAAATTAGCCAAAAAACAGCCGAAAAGCACATAAAAAGGCAGAAAGAAGCTTAAATTACCAGAAGGAAGTGGAGAGAGCAAAATTGTGCCAAATTAGACCCAAAGAAGCAGAAATTAGCAAAAAAAGTGAAAATTATCTGAAAAAAGCAGAAATTTGGAAAAAAAACAACAACTGCTGAATAGTAGCTAAAACAGCAGAAAGAAGCTTAAATTACCAGAAGTAAGTGGAGAGAGCACATTCTTTGCTGAATTAGGCTGAAAAAAGTTTAAATGAGCACAAAAAAGTGGAATTAGCCGGAAAAGCTCAAAAAAATAAAACAGCTAAATAGTAGCTGAAATAGCTGAAACTTGTAGAAATAAGCTGAAAGGAGTATAACAAACTGAAATTAGCAGAAATAAGTTAGAAGAAGCACAAAAATGTTGTAGTTAGCAAAAAGAATCTGAAAGAAGCATAAAACAGCTGAAAAAATATCTGAAAGTAGCTGAACGTAGCAAAAATAAAATTAAAATTTGTACAAAGAAGTTGAAAGAAGCTGAACCAGAACAAAATGTGAAAGGAGCATTACAAGGTTGTAAACACATCTAAAGACATGAAGGATGTAAAATGAGCTCAATTCATTTTCTATGAAAAAAATGGCAGAAAAGGCTAAATATTTCAAAAAAGCTAAAGTTGCACTAATACTAAAAGTCATAGCAGGATTGTCCTGAAGGAGCTGAACATTTTGATTTATGATTTGTTGAAATGGCACAGAAATTGTGCAATGAGAAAGATGCAGAAAAATGTTCAAAAGAAGGATCACAATAGTGTGAATGCTTCATAAACAGTCACACAACTAGAGCAGACCTGAAGCTAAATTAATTTAAATAAAAGCTCTGAAAAATCAGTTGATGGAGAAGTTGAGAGCTTTTAATTTTGGGTTCTGTAGAAATGTTATGAACATGTATCATCTTGTTGTGTGAATGACCTAGTTTTGGAGGAAATTTCACCAAGTACTAGAGTTTATAAAAGCAAATGTTTTTTTTAATTATTATTATTAAATGGGAAACGTACAAACTTGGTCAAACAAACTATTTCGGACCAGATGGTCAAGCTGGGGCTGAAACCAAAGTGGACTGCTGTTGTTTTAAAACAACAATCAAAAATTTGATATTAGTTCATGCAAAGATTATTTTTTTAAACTTCCTAATCTGTTTCACATCACATAGTTATTTACAAATAATTATTTGTAAGTGGACATAACTCCAGCACAGAGCCCCACTTTAAAAGATTTGAAGTGACATTTTCAGACATTTCTCTGATTTCCCAAAGGAGAAAAAGCAAACTTTTACTGCACAAACAAACAAAACAAATTAAAAACCATTCAAAATTGTGTTTTGATTTAGACAATGTTATTTTCTATCTACTTTTTCTTGTTCCTTTTTAATAAAACTTTAAAAAAATCAAAAAAACTTGACGATGTGACGCCTCATCAGTCCATCACTGAGTGATTCTCCTGTTAGTCTCTGACAGAGTTTCCAGTGGGTTTTCTCTTTTATGCAGATGTTCGGTCTCTACTGTGTTTACTGTGTGTGAACCACTGGTGTCCATTTCCTCGTCTGAACAAAATGTCATTGTCAAGCATTCCTCCAACTGGTTCCACTGGCAGGACATAATCAGCATCTTTGTGCATCTGGAGGAGATGGGTGCTATATGGCACTGTGGGGCAAACATGAGGACCAGCCTGCAGATTACTGTCAACAAATTGTCCACTGACTCTGTCATCACAGATGCAAAGTTACCATAGTTTAAATCAGCTTTTTACTTTTTTTTATTATTTACGTGGTTTACATTTATGTGCTAAAACCTCAACTCCAAAACAGTCGGGACACTGTGTACCATGTTAAAAAAAGCAATGCTTAAATCCCATAAAACCATATTTTATTCAATGGCTCTGCATTAAAAACGGGTCTGATTCTGTTCTGGACATCACTGCGTTGGCTCAGGTAGGCCTGTAATAACAAAAAATATAGCTGGGCGATTAATTGTCTCAGAAATTATTGCGATAAACGATAATATTGTTTGAAATTTAACAACAATTAGTCATTATTGTCAAATTTAAGAGGAAATGCTAATTTGTTTAGAATGTAGTACCTTTTTTTGACCACTAGATGACAGTATATGACTGTTTGAACCAAAGGATGGATAGCAAGAGAGCAAGTAGGTGCCCCTTTAAGAAAAATGGGAGGGAGGCCCCTTGACGTGACATGGGTTGTCTCCGGTTCTCAAAATGGCGGACGCTCGGTGTGGTTTGAGCTCTTTAGTATAGCATTTTTCACACAAAGCTTTTAATAAAAAAAATCAGTAAACAAGTTCTCAGCTTCTTTTTGCAGAGAAAAACAACGATTTACACGAAGGCACGGGTTTCAACCGTGAATTTTAGAGCTTCGACAAGACGGAGGTTTTTTCCTCGAGGTCAGCCTGTTAGCTTAGCTTCTCGGCTTAGCTGCTTTTAACGATCCAAAAACGTGATTTTGGACGGTTAAAACAGATTTTAAAGAGAAAGTGAGGGGTCAGTGAAGAGCACCGGAGTTGATCCTTTTTGTCATCCAGTGTCTTCAGTAGAAAGAGAGACGCACGAAGAAACGATAAAGCCGCTAAATTAAAATGAGGTTGATAATTTTCATTTATCTTGCGATTAATTGATTTATTGTTTAACGCGACAGGCCTAGGCTCCGGAACACTTTCTTTAGTCATTGTCTGAAAGTGAAAACACAGTTCACACGTACGATGTTTAAAGTTCTGTCACGCACAGAAGAAGCCACACGTGAACACCGTCAACAACTACAGCTATCTTCTCTGGACCAAAGCTCGTTTAAAATAGATAAAGTGGAAAAGCGTTGTGTCGTCAGACGAATCATTTGTATCAGAAACGAGTGTGCCGGTTATCGGCACACAGTTCAGAAGCCTGCCTCTCTGATGGTATGGAGGTGCATTAGAGCATATGGCATTGGCAGCTTACTGTACATATCTGGAGAGACACCACCAGTGCAGAACAGTATACAAGTTTATGCTCCAGTCTTACCAATGAAAACCCAGTATTGCTGAACAGCTAGAAATAAAACGAGGCATTCCCTCCTAAAAAAAAACTCCAGTAACTGGTTTCCTCATGTCTTAGATGTTTTGTTAAAAGAAGATGGGTGTTTCACAGAGGTAAATATAACCATATCACAACTTGTTTTTAGGACGTCTTAATACCATAAATGTCTAAATTATCTTTTTTTTTTTAAAAGGTACTACAAGTTCAATATGTTTACTAAGTTCTATTGTTTATAAAATGTATATTTATGAGATTTGCTAACCATTCCATCTCGTCTTTTCAATTACATTTTACAACGACGCTCCAACTTTTTTGGATCTGGGGGTCATCCTTATCAAATGTGATGCCATCTGTTTCCATTTGTATGTTCCTTTTCAGAGCGTCAGTATTCAATTAATGCTGTTATCACTCTGTGACCAAGCTGAGGCCAGTGAGGGTGAGCTGGAACATTTTTTAAACCTTGGGAGAGAACTTTGTCAAGCTGCCATTCCCCCTCCAGCTGCACACATTCAGGTAGGATACAAAACACATATTCATATTCTGCACACTCAACACACTGCGATCCAAGAAAGGCGTGCAGAGGTCAACTGTAAAAATAAAGGAAATGAATATTAATGAGCCTCTTAAGATAAATTCATATGTGCAAGACACAAAGAGAAAGAGAAGCCATGCAAAGTTTTAATTCTTGCTCTTGCTGTGTGCAAGTACCTCACTGTTGAGATGGAAGAAGTTGTTGAGATAGTTGGAGCCCAAACCAGCTGTGCTGCAGCGCTCCTTCACATCTGGAGCTGAAGAGTCCGGTTCGAGCCTGAGGCCGTCCAAGGCCGTGCCCGGAGGGTCCTGCAGGGACATGTAGACCCATCTGAGCAGCTGAGCAGGGTGGAACACACCCGGCTCCACAGCAGACATCATATCGTCTTCTGGGGGACAACAGGAGCAGAACACTGGGTTTTCAGGACCAGACCGTTTTTGTCAGGCATCCCTGAGCTCCGGTGACTGGGTGAAGCCTCCTGCTCACTGGGAGAGCCCCTGAGAGGACTCTAGAAACAGGATGCACTGGAAGCTCGGGGAGTCAAAGCTAGAATGAAAGCTGGAGCCGAGGCGGACTTAGAGTGTATGGCAAGCCGATTTGTCATATAATAATTAAACAGGATGGTCAAAGAACTTCAAAATTCAATTCCTTGAGAAGAAATTTCACTTTTTTTCAGCCACACAGATGAATATAAATTTAAGAAACACACGTTTTAACTAGCAAAACTGTCATTATCCAATACTCTTGAGTGGTAAAAGGTAATTTAATTATTTGGAATAATGACCAGAAACAATTTAATTACAAATGTCTAAAATTTTGAATACCAATACCAGTTTATTTTCAATACCGATACCAACTGGCAATACCAATTTATCTAATTTTTTTTATATTAATTTATACCAATACCAACTTTTGAATACCAATGAAAGACTTAATAGGATGTAATTTGAAAGAAAAACAGATTAAATAATTTTTTTTTAAAAGTACTGTATTTCAGGACAGATGAGTTTGTCCTATTGGTCTTGAAATGCAACTTTTTTTAATTCCTTTATCGAGTTTAAAACAAAAAACAGTCAAAGGTTTCAGTCACATCTTGCACCTGTAATATTTAAGAGTTTTAAATTGTGATATTTTTTAAACTTGCATTGTATTTTATGTTATTACCAGATGTTTTATTGTAAATATTTTAATATTACTGTTACTGTTATTAAGACTGTTGCTGTATTTGTAATGGCTTGTTTGCACCTTGTGCATTGCCCAAGACATCCTTGTAAAAGAGATTAATAATCTCAATGGGTTTTTTTTCCTGATAAAATAAGGTTGTCTCCACTCTCTATGTTTGTATTTGTAAATATTTCTACCAATATTGGTGTTTTTCTTCGTTTATCCTTCCTTAGAAAGTTCACCTGGACCAGTCATTCTGTGTCTTTTATTTCTGTCCTCTCAGAGTCCAGTCAGTTGAGACAAATGTCCGTCCTTCCTGAGCCTTACTCTGCTTAAGGTTTCTCCCTGTTAAACAGAGTTATTCCTTTCCACTGTCACCAGTGTGTTTAAGAAGATTTACTACCGGCTTCCTCACGTAGATAACGTTTTACTAATTGCCTGTCCAGAATATATGTGAATGTTTTTTGCACATTGCCCTGATTTGGCTTTTGTTATGAATTGGCACCACATAAATAAACTAAATTGAATTTGGAACTAAACTATAACACATGAAAGGGAAAAGCGACAAAATGTGTCCAAAAAAAATAAAAGAGGTTTAAGACATCTGA